TGGCATTTGGAAATATGTCACACATGCAGAAAGCTGTAAGCATCTGCTTCCAAAATGCTCAGAGTCTCTCTTTATCCAGCCCAGATGTATTTCTCATTTGAGGGCACCCTAAACAATACTATGCCATTTTCCTTAGAGGTTTCTGCTAGGACATATTGTGTCCTTCTATTCCTTCCCAGTAAAATGTAAACTCCACTCCATGAATTATAGGCACCAATGGGCTGAGCCACTGTAGGCAAGCCCTGGGAAAGGAATTCAAATGTGTTTTGTAAAATTGTGCAACCTTTTAGCAGTAACAAATATGCTCCTTCCATTCCTATCAGTAAAAGATGCAATAGGTCAAGCCTGATGTGCATGTCTTGTAACCCTAGCATTGTGCAGACAGAGGTAGAGAAGGATCAGAAGTTCCTTCTATCTTTGGCCACATTGTGAGTTGGCAGCTATCATGAACCTATGTGTCAAAATTAAACCAAACCTAACTAAACCAAATATTTGTTCTGCAATTCCCAATGACTATCTATCTATCTATCTATCTATCTATCTATCTACCTACCTATCTATCTATAAGCATATAGCTATAGGTGTGTGTGTGTGTGTGTACGTGTGTATTCCTGTGCATGTGCGTGTGTGTGTGTGTCTGTGTGTCTGTGTGTGTATTTTGATCTACGGATATAGTTGAGGTTCTAATAAACCAAGCCACCAAGCCACATTTCATATAGTTCATAGCAAGAAAGTATTACACTGGGTATTTTAAATTACTTTGGAATTTCTCTGAGAGTTATTACTCTATGAGTCACTAATTGGATGCTCTCTATTTTGGAATTGTAGAGAAGAGAGTTGAATAAATGCTTGTTAATGCTCTGTATATTTCAGGACTTCAGTTAGCTGGCTATTTGAAAGATCAGTGTCTCATGTATGCTACATAAACTGATTTAAAACCTCCAGCTTTACATATCTAGATCTCATCTAGTGTTTAATCAATTGGACACTTACAAATAATGGCTAAATGATTTGCTGTCGTAAGGAGTTGAGCTCTGCTTTTCACACAATGACAATAACATTTTTATTTTAATACTTACACCATGGATAGTAAACTTTGGCATATTACTTAGATGGATCTCAACAGCCCATTAGCTGTGTGAATGCCTTCTCTCTTGCCAAGACATAACTGTATGCTAAGCTGCTGTGTGCTGTGTTACATAATCCCCTGCATTCATTTTCTCCACCTGTTTAGCTTGAATACATACAAGGTGATTGCATTGTCTTTTTAACCCCGTTCTCACTGTAAGCATCATGTATAGAAAATGAATTTCGGGGCACTATTACCTTTTTTACCAACTGGAGAATTGAATCAACTCAGAAATATATTTTGTTCCTATCTGGTTCTGCCTTTTGATTATGTTGACTGTCAGCCCAGTATGGTTTTCAAGGTGATAAGAGTGTGCCGGAGTCTCAGCTACTGGAACAAATTAAGATAGGTTGGGTTTTAGGAGAAAAATAATCTCCATTCTGAGGGTGTGCAACAGGATACTTTTCTAAAAGTCTTTCTCTGTCTCCTTTGTAGCTTTTATTTGCTTGGAGAGACTGGGTTATGTATTGGCAGGTCTCTCCTCTCAAAACTCAGGCAGAATAAATCCCAGGAGTTACAACCAAAAATACGTTTGCAGATCTAGAATATTATTCTGAGAAGACCCCTCAACCTTCTATTGTTTTCACTGGACACCTGCTGAAATGAGATAGCTGGGTAGTTGATTTGCCATTTTCGATCCCCTCCTCTGGCCCAGGGAAGAGAGAAACTGGACAAATTCACCATTAAGTGGGGAGTTCAGGAGGGGTGTGAGCTGCTTCAACAGTCTCCATTAGAGATGTGCCATGGAAGACAGTTGGCTGTATACAATTTTCTGTGAAATATTAGCATAAATAAATGTCTGATTTGCATTGGCATGTTCTCTCTCACAATGATGTCATATATTATTTATTTATTGTGGTATTATTCTCTTTTCTGTGGTAAAGCCTCCATTTGTTTTTCTTTATATGGCCACCTACATTAAAATAAAACATTTCTCTTACTTTAATTATATTCTGAGTTCACAGTAGAAAAGAAAGCATTTCTTTTGGTAAGCAGATGTGGCTAACTTTGGGGACGGGGAAGTTGGTTGTGGCTCACTTTATCTAGTGTCAGTTTGACTTAGAAGTCCACAGCTCCATGGAATCATTCATGACCTTAAAGAGGTTAGCTAGGAACATGTGGCATATTCTGAGTGATAATCACAGGGACACATAAAGTCTAGAAGTCCTTCAAACTCTGATTATACTGTGGCATCTTGGACACTCACATTTTTTTAGCCATCAATCTTTTTCTTCATAACATAAAGACATGAATTCAGATAATCTCTAAAATATCTTGTAATTTGAAAACTCATCATTTTAACAGACTTCTCCTCTAATTATACGAAAAATATTAAGCATGGTCAGGTACATTAAATAATATCCTGGTACCTTGCTGTTTTTTGTCAAAGCTTTCCCCTTTGAAGGGTCCTCCATGATTAATGTAAACTCTGCATTGCTCTCCTGGCTCATCTGTTCTAGCTCAATGGTCACAGTGCATCTGATTGTCTTCTGTTCTAGATCAGGATCATTTCCAGGTCTCTTGTCTAATTGTATTTTAACAAATGTGTTTCATCACAAATGAGAAGAGATATAGTGACAATAGACAAAGCAATAGAGATTATTTTGCATATATTTCAAACACACAGACAGGGTCAAGTTTCTGCTACCTGACTTTTTGAGTCTATTTTTGATAAAATACACCAGGCATAAATGCATGTATATATTGTTCTATATATATGTGTGTATCATATATTAGATACATATATTAGGTTATAGACATATATATGGGTATATACACACATACATGGCCAAATATATATATATATATATATATATATATATATATATATATGTGTGTGTGTGTGTGTGTGTGTGTGTGTGTGTGTGTATTGTTATATGTATCAATATATACACGTAGATGGATATACACACACAAGCACACTCACACACACATATATGGAGAGAAATACACATATATAAATAGATGGACACATACACACATATGGATGGACACACACACACATAGGAGGACACACAAATATCTGCTATAGTTTAGCTAAAGGTAAGCAGGTCCATTTGCTTATGACTGTAAGTGTACAGATATATGCAGATAGACATGTTACTGAGCACCTGTGTGGCATATAGAAGAAACTTCACTTCTTTATCCCTCAAGCATTTCTAGCCTTAATTCCTGTTTTCACAATGTTATGATCATAACACACGATGATTAATTTAACTATTCATAGTGGAGTTTTGTCTCTCAACATAGTAAGAGTTCTATCTCATTTTATTACCATGTGATTAGAAAATGTATGTTTTATTTTGCTAAAGTGATTTATGTAGGACTAAGATGGTTGATAGGGATATGAGCTGAGCTGGATTTAGTTTTGGCTCATAATATTGAAATGTAGTTTAGCTGAGGGAAAATAGAATACCCCCAACTTCAGTTTACAGCCCCCAATCTTTTAGGGGGATCTATGTATCTACATGTATCTTATTGCCAATTTTCTTTTATTAGTTAAATGCTTTTGAATAGCGGTTGACCTGTGGCTGGAGAGTTGGCTCAGTGGTTAAGAGCATTGACTGCTCTTGAAGAGGTCCTGAGTTCAAATGCCAGCAACCACATGATGGCTCACAATCATCTGTAATGAGATCTGATGCCCTAGCTACAGTGTACTTATATATAATAAATAAATCTTAAAATAATAAATAGCAGTTGACCAAGTCTCATATGAAATAATACATTTTGAGTCTGCCTCACAAGAAGACACATGCACATCCATGTGCTGTGTGCCAAAATTGTGACTCCAATAAACTGCAAGTTGATCACATTAGCTCTCTCCTATTTAAAGATACCTTTCTATTTATCTGGGTGTCGAGACTCAAGATTAAACATGTTTGACTCCTTGAGAAACAGTGCTGAAAGGAGACTAGGCCACACAGCCCCCTGGGTTCTCATTCCATGACCTTCTCCAGTTTTCTTCCCATGTTCAGCTCTGTCTTACACTACCTCTAGGATTAATACACATGGATGCCCTGATAGACACAGCAAGCATTGTCTACTCATGTGTAGATACCTGTATCATCTGTTTCTTTCAGAAAACAGTGGTTCCAGAGAAGAGGCCTACTAAGACAGGCTTTGACAAGGGAATTTTAAGATGTCAAAGCCTGAAATGTGATCTTGAGGGGAATAGAGATTGCACTGTAATCCTGTCTTGGACTTGTTTTCAAATTTGGGGAATATGTGTGTAAAGCTAAGTTCCAATCAGGGAGGGACATTCTGAGATGAAATCTCTCATCTGCCCAGGGCACAAGACCTCTTTGCTTGAATCTAAGGGTTGTGTAGCTCTCAGGCCAAAGCTCTCTACCATGTCTCGTCCTATGCCCTTTTTTTCACCTGACTTATCTTCTGCAGTCCAATCTTCTTCTTAATAACCCAGCCACGTTCATTCCATGAGGCTCCTGATTTTACCATAAAAACCACAGTTAGCTAGGTTTTTGATGGATGGAAATCAAAGCCAAATCTTCTAGGGTAATTGATTTTAAATTATTGTTTAATAAAAGGTACCAAGAGCTAAGAAGTCTTTTGTCAGAAAGGACAGTTAATTATCTATTCTGAAGCAGATCTGTTATAAGCATTTAAATACAATCATTGGTGCACTGGGAGCCTGCCTTGACCATTTTGAATGAAGTTTCTACTCAGGCTTTTCTTCCAGAACGTTTAAAGGAAAGATAGCCCATTCCTTTAGATTGCCTTGTTGTCTACTGCTATGTGGATACATAGTTTCTCTACAGTCAGCACTTCTGTTTTCGTTAGTTAAGAAGGAGCTGCCTAGAGTAGATGCTTGCTCATCAAGGCATAACCACTTTGTCCTTTTCTTTACCTACAGCTCGAGAGGAAAACGTGGCCACCTTCCGAGGCTCAGAGTATCTGTGCTATGACCTGTCCCAGAACCCCATCCAGAGCAGCAGCGATGAAATCACTCTTTCCTTTAAGACCTGGCAACGCAATGGGCTCATCCTCCACACGGGCAAGTCGGCCGACTATGTTAACCTAGCTCTGAAGGATGGTGCGGTCTCCTTGGTCATTAACCTGGGGTCCGGGGCCTTTGAGGCCATTGTGGAGCCAGTGAATGGGAAATTCAACGACAACGCCTGGCATGATGTCAAAGTGACACGCAATCTTCGGCAGGTAATGGCCGGGGAACAGCGAGCCTGTAAGGCCCATCTTAGGCAGACACTTTGTGGGGCAGGTGACTGGTGAGGTTGAAAAGGCTAGAAATCTGGGTGTAGATATGACAAAGTATAACTTTCTCCAAATTTTTGCAATTTCAGAAGGAAAAATGATTAAACTATTTTTCTCCTCATCCTTCAAATCCACATTTGGACTTGTTATTGAAGGGAAAAAAATCAATTGCACAGATAATAAAAATGATAAGTACTTTCATCCTTTTTATTCTGCTTTCCTTTTATCATTTTCTTAATTACTTTCAAATCTTATCATATTGTTGTTAAATTCAATTAGGGGCAGCATTTTGTTTCCACAGCTTGATGGATCGTCCTCATTCTTTGAGTATATGTTCTCCTTTTTAATTAAGTTAGTCATTGCCATGATGTCATCATTTTAATTCCCTCCAGGAAAAGAAAATCTTGATTTTATAAACCTCTCCTATTAATTTACCATCCCTCCCTACCTTTGGTTATTATTTTTTTCTTCTCCCACTGTTATGTGAACCTCTAGCCTTAGAATTAATTAGCCGGGATCTCTCTGAACTCATGTTTCTCTGTTCCCTGATGCTGTGGTCCTGCCTCACTGCCCTTGTCACTACCTCCGAGACTCTTCAGTTGCCTGGGAGGCCTGGCAAGTGGAAGCACCCAAATAAAAATGTCAACTTTGGAGCAGCTTTCCTGAGGCTGTGTGTGCTTGAGAACTCCCATCGCTTGTGGATTCTAAGCAGGCAACCCTGTCAGGTGACACCGCGTCCAGAAAGCCTGAGACAAGCAAAGCAGTTTTCCATTTCATTACTAATAATGATAATAATCAAACCTTATCAGTGCACATCAGCAAAAGAAAAGCGTTTCCCACCAGAGCCAAGGTCTGTGCTGAGATGGTCTTTTTTCATGTGTCTATGTTCATTGGTATTTTTCTCTACTTGTAAATTTGTCACACAACCCAGTTGGACAGCCTTCATCCTTTATTAATCAGAAAACAGTATGCAAATTTCCAGAAAGTGCTTATCAAATTTCCTTCTGCAATGTGATGGATTTCGTGCCGTCTCGTGTAAACATGAAAGCATGCGACATGACAGGTGTTTGCATATGTTTTCTGTTTGATAAAAGTATGACTCCTAAGAAATGCTAAACAAATGGCGAAGGCTGGCACACATTGAATCACATTATAGTCAAAATATCCATCTACACACTTAACTCTAGCAAGGAAGCCAGCTGATTGGAAGATCCCATTCTGTTTAGAGTGGAGTTGTTGAGTAACTCTCCCCTGGATTCTTACCACATAGGAATTTGAATTTTGTGAGTCATTGATCTGCGATTTCCTTCAAGGTCAAATACCTCAGATATGTAAGTGCTTTCATTTATCTGCATTCATAGCTACACAGAAGAACTTCGTAGCAATCAGAGATTCCCAAATCACATTTCCATTTGCAGACATAGACTTAATGTATCTGGGTTGTGAACTCTAAACCTAAAAGTGAATCATGACCTTTTTCAACCTTTGATTGCTATGTCCAAAATAATACCTTTGGAGCCGCAGTTAGCTGAGGGGAAATTCCATGTTCTGGGTAGCATTATCAGGTCAGGTGTCTCATCAATTTGTTTCCCTTGCTTTCTACCTACATACCCACTTCCTACTTGTTCATGAATGGTTCTAAGGTGCTAACAAAACTCACTTTTGTTTCCACTAAAAACACTTTCCTAAGAGTATGAGGCCCCAGCTAAGCTCTTTAAACCAGAGCAGATAAGTTAAATTATTATTCAAATATTGTTGTAATGTTTCGGTCAGGAACACTGTGAGAAAAATCACCCTGTAGAGTTTTTAATATATTCCAAGTTCGAAGGTCCAGCTTCTCCCTGTGCCCTTGGACAAGTCACTTAACCTTCCTTCACTATAGCTCGAATTTGCAAACTTTGATTACAGTGCTCCCCAGCCAAGTGTACTGCAAAGTGCCTTCTGCTCCAGAAGAACTATGAGCTCATCCATGGCCTGGGTGCTAGATTCCCTGTGATGTGCAAATGATTTACAAGCTGAGCCATCACTCTCAGAGGTGACTACTTCTGCCTGCTGCCAAGGATACAGGAAAATGGAGCTTCCTATTCTAATTAAAGCTGTTGAGTGCTTCAGATGTGGAGTACTTCTTAGCAGAGAGGATCTTGATCTTATGTTAAAACACACACACACTTGTATCACTTAAAATATTGAAATCAAAATTCAGAGAAAGAGGTTGATTTTCACAAATAAAATCCATTTAATATTGTCTAGTCTAAGATCACTATATTGTCCATTAAAATATTTATATTATCCCTTTTCAGTTCCCTAGAATACATTAGAAAAAATTGAAGACTCTGTATATTTTAAATAAACTTTAAATAGCCTCATAAATATTTGATAATAAGCTGATGACAACTCGTCTACTTTTTTTTTGGCAAAATCTAATGTTTTTGTTGGGAAAGATTTATCTAAGAAAAATTGTCCTGTGCCTGGGATTCATAATAGTATCTCTTACCAAATAGGGCAGAACAATTGTTCCCCACCCTATGGCCACCAGTGTGTGATTTAGTTCTTATTCCAACTCAGAGCCAAGCCCAGATACTTTACTGGGACTTCTGATTGTAAAGTTTAGAATATGGACTACATACATGTGCTTGTTCTAAATTATAGTGTGTGTGTCTGTGTGCATTCGCATGCGCACACACGCGCGCGTGCACACACACATACACACAGAGACACACTTGCCCGTGATTACACAGGAAGGATTGCCTTTTATCTTGTTAGCCCTCAAGGTCAAGTCCCTCACATTACCTGCTCCACCTCTGAGTACCATTTTTGGTAAAGCACACAAAACAAGGGGCAGGTGTCTCAGCCTTCTAGATGCCCAGCTCAAAGGGTGTTGTCAATTTAGCCTTTGAAAATCATCAGTAAAGAGAGATTAATTGTAGTGAGGGGTTTTTCAATTATCTACCATCCTTCCTGCTATTCATTTACAAAGTTGTTTAAAAGCTTAAAACACAATGTTCCAAAGGAATTCGGGGGGAGGGGCTGTCTTTCCATCCATTCGGAGAAAGTAAAGAAATTAATAACATTATTGAGTAATAAAAAATAAAATTTTGATGTATTCATATGTCACAGACATTGAAAACCGTAAGTAAATGAAATATGAGAGTGTTCCCTCTTGCTCACAAATCCACAGAAATCAATGGGGTCATAGATTAGCCTGCTGAGACCTACAATATGCTGCATAATGAAGTCTTGCTGTGTGAGGTTCAGTGTGCTAGCTTTCAGTTCTTTTCAGAATGGTCCATCCATGTAGTTAGATTCAGATGTGAAAAGAAATACTAACATACTATTAGTATGTAGTTATCTTTTTATCTACCTATGGAGTGGCTTGTTTGGGCTCGAGGTGGGGGGTATTTTCTTTCAGTACAGGAGAAGTACATGTGTTTATTAGAGGGTGGGAAGGAAAACCCACTCAGAAGAGTCCTGGAAAGTAAGTATGATACTAATTCTAAGGGGTGAGGTGTTGGTCTGAGTGGTATTTGAAAGGAAGGGCAGTTGCCTTGACTGGTGGCTGAGTCCACAAGCAAGAGTTTCCATAGAGTCCTGGTCTCATTGTCTCTCCCCACTCTCTTTCTATGTTGGGTGCCTTTTTTTTGAAAAACTAACACAAGATCACTCATACGATGCGTCATTTTACTAACAGACTAATGTACTAACACCCTAACAACTCATCTTTGGTTTTAGTTTTTATTTTTAATTAACAATCGTTCTGTTCACAATTTTTAATTTCCTTTCTTCCCCCTTCTCCGCAAAGCACTCAGGCATCGGACACGCTATGGTAAACAAACTACATTGTCTGGTAGATATCATTCTTATTGTCTTTTTTTGGGTTTGCCGTGTGTTGCTCCCCCTTTCCTGCCCGGCCCTCCTTTTGTCCTCTTTAGACTTATTTCCTCTTCCTTTTCAATTTTTTTGTTGTTAAATTAAATGCAAGACTTTTTTTCTTTAAAAAGAAAAACAGAAGGAAACGTAACTGTCCAGAAAACAGCTATTTATTCGAGTTTGTTGGGACAGTTCTTTATTTCCAGACTTCTTTTTATTTTTCTCCAAAAGTTATTTTTTTAAGGGAACCTCTTCAATTAGTTATATTTTTATTTACCTATTTTGAAACCTCTAAATGACAGTCTAGAGACAACAGAGATTTTAGTGAGGGCTTCCTTCTGCTGTGTCTCCCCCTCCTTCTTTCTTCCTGTTTTCTCTGTCTCCTCCCTAATCCTTAGTCCCTCTCTCCTTCCCTTTCTGTAGCTGTGGCTGCCACAGGTGATCTTGGGGGAGGAAAAGATGCTGCTTCCTCTAATCTTCCTCTCTCTTCTTTGACCTCATTCCCCACTGTGGCCAAAGGGAGTGCCACCAATTGTTTTCTTCATACACACTGCATGGCATGGTCCTGTCTCGTGGAACACCCATCAGCATCTGTCCCCCATTTGCCTCTATGTTACTAACAACTGGCAACCGACCATCAATCCAGTTCCACTCTCTTCTTTCCCCCTACCCCAATCTCCATCCTCCTCTCATTTTCCATATTTTTGGGGTTGGGTTTGGACTTTTCTTTTCTTTTTTTCTTTTTCTTTTTTTTTTCCAGTGAGGGAGGTGGTAGGCAGGGGAAGTGTTAAACTCATTAGTTTTGAGTGTTTTATTTCCCTCTCCTACATTTACTTTTTTTTCCTTCAGTTTCTTCAATGCATGCGTGTGTGGTGTGGATTTAGATTCTGTTATTTTATCCTTTCCCCCATAGAACTACTTTTCTGCCCTGCCTTCTCTCTTGGCCCCAGATACTTTCCGCATGGGTGTGTTAGTGTGTGGTGTGTGCACGCTCTGAGACTCCATCTTTTTCTCTCTGCCCTCTGCTTGTGGGTGGAGCCTGTATGAGTGCTGATCCTCTCCTTTGCCATTATCATTATTATTACTATTTTGGTTATTATTGCCTCAACATTCATTTCTTTTGGTTAAAGTTGCTTTTTGAGTTTGTGCATTTTTTTCTGGTGGTGGTGGTGGTAGGTAAGGGAGGGTAGGGTTGGTACCTGGGGTAATCCATAGCATGTATCATTCCGGACACATTAGAACAGAGACCCTTCTCCTTCCCTACCCTGAATGCATGTTTGTTAGTGTGGTGTGAACCATAAAAGAAACAAATAATAAAAGAAAAGAAAAAAGGGGGAAAAATCCACTAACAACCAAAGACCAACCCCTAACATATACCATTGTCGAATGTCTCCTTTGATGTTTTTCATTACTACCATAAATAACAGCTATAAGAAAAAAGAACCAATCATTTTTAGCAATGAACCAAGACAAGTGAAATCGTCTGAGGGTGGTTCCATTTTCTAGCCTGACTCAGTGAAGTTTGTAATGGGTGGAAGAAGGTACTCAGCTTAGTCATTCTAACATACTGTCCCATTAACTACCAGGGAAGACTGTAGGCTTGGGACATAGGAAGGCAGACCAGAAAATGGAACTTGAGCTGCACATACCAAAATCAAGCCAGATTAGAAAGAGCACCTCACCAAAAATCTTAATGGAGCTGAAACCACAAGTAGGGGAAGCCATTAAGTTTTAATAGGATTGTAAGGTCACTGCTGGGATTTTCTTTTGTCCCTATGTCCCACTACCAGGTGACAATCTCTGTGGATGGCATCCTAACCACAACAGGCTACACTCAAGAGGACTACACCATGCTGGGCTCAGATGACTTCTTCTATGTTGGTGGAAGCCCAAGTACAGCGGACTTGCCAGGCTCACCTGTGAGCAACAACTTCATGGGCTGCCTTAAAGAGGTAACTTTTGCATACTTCCATTGAATGGGTAGATGGTATGAGTACTTAAGCAAAACCAAACCAAACAAAACAAAACAAAACAACCAAAACAACAAACAAACAAACAAGCAAAAAACAAATCCAGAAAACCACAGTGAGAGAAAGACAAAGAGCCAGTGGGAGACAGAGAGAAATCTAGACCTGTGGCTGTGCATAGCCTCTAGTCTTTGAGTGAAATGAAATGTTATAGGAGACAAGATTTGAACTTTAAAGGGCCTATCCTTTGTTGGGTAGCCTTGGGTTTGCTACTTAATTATCTTGTGTTCTCCTCTAACTAATGAAGACACATATCACATATCGCTTAGCTGTGCAACGTAAGTGAAACAGTCATTGCAGATAAAATCACAAGGAACTAGACACACTTGAAGGCTAATTTTGTGCTTTTTACCCAGCAAGGATGAGAGCTGTGGTTAAGCCATACAGCTTGTGTGCCTTGTCTAAAATACAGCACATGTATTGTTTTATTGTTATTGAATATGGCAGCCCCAAGACTATTTTTTTCTCATTTGTTCAAAGGGAGGCAAAAATTTCAGTGTGTAACATCCATGCTCAGAAAAATGGGCCTGCTTTTCTCTTTCTATTTTCCTTCCCTTAAAGTGAGTCCCTGTAGCTATGAGAAGGCAGCAGGGCTTGGTGGTCACTCATGTATTACCCTAGTAGCTGATGTGTTGAGACTCTGTCTGAGAGCAGAGGAGCTTCAGTCAAGTGTAAGTTCAACTTCTAAGGTCAATTGTTGAGGCAAAAAGAATCAGACTTGATTTGTTAGAGTTCTTTCACCACACTATGTCACAGAAGCACCATACTGTACGTGCTTTCTTTAAACTAAGCTGAGCTTGATTGCCTGAGATATCCATACCATCTCCTTAGGGAAATTCCTGGAGAAGCTAATAGCGTTCCTTCTTCTAGACAAAAATCTCTTGTGACATCTTAGGAGACTCCCCCTGGGGCATATATTTTTATTCTGATTATGGTTATTTGGAGTTTACTGCACAGCAGACATACAGTTGACATTGTTGAACAGGGACTTGTCAGTGGCACCAGATGGTGAACAGGAATTGCCTCTACTATAACTGGCACACAGTAGGTCCACAGAAAGATGTTTTGAATGGACTTATTTATCAAGAAACCATGATGTACCTTTACATGTGCTCTTTATAAGTGATGGTCTCTGTGCTCAAAGACTGTATAGCCTGGGAAGGGAGATGAGATCAGAAAGTGAATAATTACAACATAGGACCATATGTTCAGCACCACAGACTTAAGGCCCTGACTGAACAGAAGAAACAGATAAATTTTAGGTGGGAGTCAGTTTTAGAGAAGAAGTGACATTTGAGCCAAGCTTTGGCTGCAATAAACCATGTGTGAGTTGAGAGGAAACAGTAGAAATCAAAGACATGATAAAGGAGTAAAGGAGAAGAGATTGCAATTGTATTGTTCTTAGTCTGAAGGACAAATGGAAAGGAGAATCTAAAAACTGCTGTCCTCTCTCTGATGATTGTTCCCCTACATTCTGCCAGCTGGGGTGACACAGTTGTTTCTGAAGAAATTGTGGCAAGCACATAGCACTTGTTCCCTGCCATTTACTCCTATTTAAATATAATAAGGGCACACATTTTTAATCATTAAGGCTTCTTTACCTGAATAATGACACAGAAGCGTGTGTTTATTTGCAATGCTTTTGTCCTTAGCTCAGGTTTGCTCCCCAACTAGCTGATAATTTATATTAACCCGTTTATACTATTCTGTGTCTGCCATGTGACTGATTATGTGTCCTCAGTTACATAGGTTAGACTTCCTTCAAGTCTGGGTGGTAAATATCCCATGCCTCTCTCTTTCCCAGAGTTCCTCTCTCTGTCCAGAAGTTCCGCCTTACTATTCTGCCTTTTGCATAAGAGACTTTTTATTTTAACCAATCAGAAGCTGCCTTAGGCAGGCAAGAAAGGACAGAGACACATCTTCACACAGTGTACCAAAACATCACTCCAACACAGACTACTCAGTGTCTTATGAATTCTGAAAGACTCTAAAACTCTGCTAGATTCAAACTGGTTTGAAATGTGCTCTCATCAGAAAATGATTGCAACATTCCCAACACCAAGGACTTGGCTCAGGAATGTACCAAGAACTGCCTAATATGGCACAGGCCTCCATTTTTCTGTGGGACAACCACCCTGAGCATGAAGTTTCCTGGAGGGAACTTATGGGTCACATATTCTCTATGCCCAGTTATTTTAGATCATCTGTATATTACATATTTTGGGACAAAGTACCAGTTTCCCAACTATAAGTTTTTTATCTATTAATAAGGAAGATTATCTCTGAATATTTATAAAAATAGCATGACACTCATGATAGCTGTATTCATGCAAAATTGAGATTTAAAAATATGCATATATGCATATATATACATATATATGTATATATGTATACACACACACACACACACACACATATATATATATATATATATATATATATATATATATATATGAGGAATGGATGGAGGGAGAAGGTAGTTATTGGAGATTATGTAAAAAACAGAAAGCCCTTCAGAAGTCTGTCAAATGTTGTTAAGTAGCTCACAACTTTGTAGGGCTAGCATAAAGACTTATTGTGACCCTCTAAAACTCACATGGAAGATGAAAACTTGGAGATGCAATTTAAACCTTTAATTCCAGTGCTGAGGAAACAGAAACAGGAGTCTTCACAAAACTTGCTGGCCAGATAATAAAGCCAATCTCCAGGTTCAGGGAGAGACCCCTATCATTAAAATCAAGTTGGACAGTGACTGAGGAAAGCAGCCCAAATCAACTTCTATCACACACACACACACACACACACACACACACACACACATACTTATGTGTGCATGCATACACACTCATGCATGTGCACACATACACATGTATATAAGAACACACATGCATATGCTCACACATGCATTTGCATGTGCACATGAGCACACATATGTAAACACAAATGAAGTGAAACAATTAAAAATGATTCCTGCATACACACAGGGACACACACCCACACATACATGTATGCATAAAAGTTTATGATATTTCTGGAGAACAGAGTCAATATTTGAAACAACTAGTGGATAGAATTTTCCATTTTTGCAAGCAGTAGAAACTTAAGCTTGACTTTTAGAAAGGAATGGCGAAAACATTGACGACAGAAGTGGTCTGTAAAACAGGGTTTTGCTGAGCCCCACCTTGTCTATGTTGCATATGAGTTGGTTTTTCTAAGGGTCTGTGAGGTCTTCCAGTTTGTATGAGAGCTTGAACATGAGTCTAATGACATTCTGATGTAGGCTTATTTTTCTGTTTAAAGACTGCATTTACTTGTCTTTTGTCTGGGAATTCTTGTGTTTTTGACAACTTAGTAAACCAGAGGACCTGCCGGCCCCGATGGGCTTTAGCTTGTCCTCAGGTGAGTCCTTGTTTTTGATCATTTAACCTCATGACAGCCTCTGTTCTTACAATATAATACCACCTTTCCTTCCTCATCTCTCTTTCTTTCTTTCTTTACCTATTATCTCTTGTCATTTGTGGCTCTAGGTTGCCCCAGCTAATTGAGTACTTTAAACGCTGTTTTCATCAAATTTGGGACATGGTGAAGGGCTAATGGGATAATAGACATTTGCTTTATTGTTGTAGAAACAGATTTTACTTGGGGAACTCTGCTTCATTGCTGAAAACTGAGTTGTGACTCTGCTATTGAGCAAAAATGACTGGCTATCACCGGTGTGCACATCTCTCAACTTGATATCTCTGTGAAAGCCATGTCCAAGTTGTCATCAAACTATTGTGTTTCTCTGCACACCACACTCCACTTAATCCAATAATATCACCAAATTAACATCTTGATCATTTTTGTACTTTACTGTTTTAGCGTATATATTTTGATTTTGTTTGTAATAGATCCCCAGGCCCTAAAGTTGTTAGGTTTGTGGGGAGCTCAACACACTGATTTTTGAATGAACAATACATCACAAAATGGGTACATAGTTTTTATCAGATAAATAATTTGAGGCACAGCTGACAATAGCATTTATAAAAAATACTTTGCCATGGCAATACTTGAATCTTTTAAGATCCCTCAGATAGCCAATATGAGGGAAATAAAGGGTCTCAACAAAGCTAAGAAGGATGACCTGGATTCTCTCTTAGGAAGAATAATACAAGTCTGGAAAGGCATCATATTATAATGAAAAGAGTATCTAAATGGAAAGTTAATAGACCCTGGGGCTAGAGAGTAGCTTAGCATTTAAGAGAACTGGATACTCTTCCAGAGAACCTGGGATTGATAGTTAGCACCAACATAGTGACTTATAACCATTTATAATTCTAGTCCTAGGGGATGTTCTGGTTTCAATGAGCATCAAGAATGCATGTGGAACAGAGACATATATGCAGGCAAAATATACACATTAGTAAAATAAACTAGAATAGAAAACTACTTAACTGTGTTAGGAACATAAATTTGATTACTTTGTATGGCTTAGTATTAGACACTGATTTTTTTTAAAAGAGTATTAGTTTGCAAACTTATAAAGAGGAGATCCTAAGAGCTCTGTTGTGTTCTCAGGGACAAGTGAAATGATGAGCATAAGCCACACATTATTATACAATGATAGCTTAGAAATGTAACAATTATTATGTATAACCTCTTATAAAAGAGTTGTGAACATGACTCTCAGTGAAAATGCATCTGCCTGTGATCTCCTAGACTCCTGTATTAGCAAGTCAACATCAGGGAAAACCTTATTTTAAAGTGTCTCCCTATTGAAAATCTCTCATATTTGTAAAAAGAGGGATAATCCAGTCACTCATTCTTGGTCTTTCCCTTATTTCTGTCTTCAGTCATTCATTTTATGCTGTCAATCTCCCTTTGTTAGACTACCAGCTCCAAGAGAAGACATAATTACCATTTCCCAGCAACCAGAATGTTTTCTG